ATTACAAAAAATAGGATCTTATTTCACCGAATTACCTCCCTATTACACCCAATTACACGAAAATAGGGACTCACATGCGGCCTCTTCCACTCGAAGGGCTTGGACGGCGCCCTGGAGAAGATGGAGCCCCTCCCCCTATTTCACTATTCCACCCAATTACACAAAAATAGGAAACCCAATTTCACCCAATCACAAACCTAGGACACCTATTTCACCCAATCACAAAAAAATCCCACCCTATTACACCCAATTACAAAATAGGGACTCACATGCGGCCTCTTCCACTCGAAGGGCTTGGACGGCGCCCTGGAGAAGATGGAGCCCCTCCCCTATTTCACTATTCCACCCAATTACACAAAAATAGGACACCCAATTTCACCCAATCACAACAAAATCCCACCCTATTACACCCAATTACAAAATAGGGACTCACATGCGGCCTCTTCCACTCGAAGGGCTTGGGCGGCGCCCTGGAGAAGATGGAGCCCCTTCCCCTATTTCACTCCTATTCCACCCAATTACACGAAAATAGGACACCCAATTCCACAAGAAAATGGGACACCCTATTTAACTCAATTAAAAAAAAACTATTCCACCCAATTACAAAAAATAGGATCTTATTTCACCGAATTACCTCCCTATTACACCCAATTACACGAAAAATAGGGACTCACATGCGGCCTCTTCCACTCGAAGGGCTTGGGCGGCGCCCTGGAGAAGAAGATGGAGCCCCTCCCCTATTTCACTATTCCACAAAAATAGGACACCCAATTTCACCCAATCACAGAAATAGGACACCTATTTCACCCAATTACAAAATAGGGACTCACATGCGGCCTCTTCCACTCGAAGGGCTTGGGCGGCGCCCTGGAGAAGAAAATGGAGCCCCTCCCCTATTTCACTCCTATTCCAACCAATTACATAAAACTTATTCCTTCCAATTACAAAGAACCTATTTCACCCAATTACACAAGAAAATAGGATACCCTATTACAGAAAACCCTATTAAGACATCCTATTCCACCGAATTACCTCACTTTTACACCCAACTACCTCCCTATTTCACCCAATTACACGAAAAATAGGGACTCACATGCGGCCTCTTCCACTCGAAGGGCTTGGGCGGCGCCCTGGAGAAGAAAATGGAGCCCCTCCCCCTATTTCACTATTCCACCCAATTGCACAAAAATATGACACCCAATTTCACCCAATCACAAAAATAGGACACCTATTTCACCCAATCACAAAAAAATCCCACCCTATTACACCCAATTACACGAAAATAGGGACTCACATGCGGCCTCTTCCACTCGAAGGGCTTAGGCGGCACCCAATTTCAATACCTACACCCTAATTACACCCCTATTTCACTCCCACCCAATTATGCAAAAATAGGACACCCTATTACACCCAATTACACGAAAAATAGGGACTCACATGCGGCCTCTTCCACTCGAAGGGCTTGGACGGCGCCCTGGAGAAGATGGAGCCCCTCCCCTATTTCACTATTCCACCCAATTACACAAAAATAGGACACCCAATTTCACCCAATCACAAAAAAATCCCACCCTATTACACCCAATTACACGAAAATAGGGACTCACATGCGGCCTCTTCCACTCGAAGGGCTTGGGCGGCGCCCTGGAGAAGAAGATGGAGGCGTCCTCGGCGGGGAAGTCGTGGTCCTCGAACAGAGTGCCAGAGTCGAGGCACTGCTGTCTCAAGGAATAGAAATCTTGCACTTCGCCGCGGGGTCGGAGGCCGGAGCCGCGCTCGCCGAACTGGAATTGGGTTGAAATTGGGTAAAAATTGGTTGAAATTGGGACAAAAATTGGTTGATATTGGTTGAAATTGGGACAAAAATTGGTTGAAATTGGATGAGATAGGGTTATGGGAGAAAAATGGTTCATATAGGGGGAAATTGGTTAAAATTGGCTGAAATTGGGAGAAAATTGGTTGGGATTAAGAGGCACTGCTGTCTCAAGTCTTGTACTTCGCCGCGGGGTCGGAGGCCGGACCCGCGCTCGCCGAACTGGAATTGGGGGGAAATTGGTTGAAATTGGTGGGAAATAGGGATGAAATCGGGGGGAAATTGGTTGAAATTTGGTAAAAAAAAATTGGTTGAAATTGGGACAAATCCGTTGATATTGGGAGAAAATTGGTTGAAATTTGGTGAAATCGGTTGAAACGGAGACAAAATTGTGAGGAAATTGGTTGAAATTGGGAGAAAACTGAAGATAATTGGGGAAATGGATAAAAAAAATTGAATTTGGGAGAATAGTGGTTGTAATTGGGAGGAAACTGGGTGAAATTGGTTGAAAATGATAGGGAAATTGGTTGAAATTACGTGAAATTAGTTGAAATAGGGAGAAAATTAGATGGATTAATTTGTTGAAATTGGGTGAATCCACTGCGAGGGGAAATGAAATTGGCTGTTGTTGGGAACCTGCAAGAAAATTGGATAAATGGGTTAATGTCCAGAAAATTGGGACGGAAATTG